GCATGAAAGCACACACAAAACAGCGTTCCAATTTGGGACAGTTCGACTCCTTACCAGTTCGAACTTGTAACAGTTCGATTCTGTCCGCGTTCTGTTCTGGTACGTGTGCGAAAAAAAGGACTGTTCTGAATTGAATCTGTTCGATTTTAGGTCTGCTCGATTTTGAAAACGTTCGAATTCGTCGTACCCCCGTTTTTCCACTCTCCAATTTCTCCATTCTCGTTTGTACTCTCAATGACACTTTTTCCCACATTACCGCCCTCCAGTCGTCTCCAAAGGCAACGCTTTCCTCTTTATACTTTCTCATAACTTATCAACATTTTTGTGTCCCTCTTTAGCTTTTTGAAAGTGTCTTGTGACACCAAGTGTCTGTCTACTCCTTTTACACCTTTCCACCCCGCCAAAGTTCTCTTGTTGTATGTCTACTTTCTGATTTTTTGTTGGATATGTCCTCTCGTGTGATACATATGTTCTTTTTGTCTCTTTTCTTGCCAGTTATTGCTCTTCTTCTTTTTATTTTCCTGAGATTGAAACACACCTGTTTCCAAAAAAAGAGCAGCAGACATGTCGTGTGTACTCAGACACCAGACACTCGGCAAAATGTACTAATGAGGGGGGTAGATGATGGAATAAAAAAATCCCCAAAAATGGAAATTTTAGAATTTCGAAATAAATAATCCGAAATTTTGAAAAAAAATCTTAAAATTCAAAAATTCTGAGCATCCAAAATTATAAAAATCCAAGAATCCTGAAAATTCATAATCTCTGAAAATCGAAAATTATTGAGAATCCAAAGATTTTGAAACTCAAAAATGCTGAAAATCCAAAAACACTGTAATCCGAAAATTCGGAAGATCCCAAAATTGTGAAAAATTAAAAATTATGGAACTCCAATTACTCCAAAAATCTTGAAATTTTGAAAAATCGGAAAACTCTGGAAATCCGAAAATTCTGAAATTCATAAAATCATGAAAGACCAAAAAATTCTGAGAATCCAAAAATCAAAAATCATAAATCTGAAAATCAAACATTTTCGAAAATCCGAAAAATCATAAAAATCAAAATTTCTGCAAATTCGAAAACTCTGACAATCGAAATTCTCTGAAAATAAAAAAAAAAACTTTAAAATCTGAAACTTCTGAGGTTCTAAGAATCTACATTTCTGAAAATCTGAAACTTCTGGAAATCCTGAAATTCTGAGATTCCAGAAGTGCTGGAAGTTCCGAACAACCAAATTCGGAAAAAAATCTAAACTCTGAAGAACCGAAAAATCTGGAATCTCCGAAAAAGCGAAAATTCTGAGAATTCTGAAATTCTGAAAATCCAAAAACGCTAAAAATCCGAAAATCACAAAGTTTTCAGGTTGTGAATCGAAGCTTTAAAATTTCTGGAATCTTAATATTCTGAAACCCAAAAAAATAGGAGTTCTGAAATCCTCAATCTATAATTATTCTAGACTTTGGACCATATAAAAATTCAAATTTCTATAACTACTTAGGATCAAAAAGCCTAATCTTCCAAAATCATCACTATTCAAAATGTTTTATTATCTTCCTAAACATCTGCTCACAGTACTCCAAAAGATCAAAAGATCAACTTTCCCTCTTCTCCTATCATTATTTCCTCACTATTCCATTCCTCCTTCTACTCAAAAACACATACAACGCAACACGCTCATTCCCACTTTTCCTCCTTATTCACGAGTTCCTTTCCTCTTTTTCTTCTTCTCTTTCTAGCAACATCCCAACGCAATGGACATGCATACTGTCTGCGTCTCTCTAAAATCAAAAATGTTTTTTAGTTGTTCCTCTTGGCTCCCTGTCGCGACGATGACGTGTGTTATGAGGAATAAGTTTTGAGACACTAACATGATTTTCGAATATTTCATAAATCTGGTAATTATAAAGTGCATAGTTATAGTATAGGATTTGAATTATTGTAAAACTTGTAACAGAAGAACCCGACACTGTGAAGTTTGAGGTCAATTATCACAATTCCTGTACAAGATATCAAAAATGTGTCAATCGACAAAGTATTTTTAATATTATGATGAACAATTTATCAGTTGACAACTTTTGTATATCTTTGCCAGGAACCAAGATAAATTGGCTCACGGTTGAGAGGTATGGGTCGCTTTTTTTCAGAGGTTAAAAAAAAAATTTATATCAGTGCTATCCCATCTTTATCACTCTCATCCTTTCTTTTGATGTTCATATACCCCGAGCTTTCAGCCATTCAACTTTCCTCTACCTCAAGCTACCGACTCCAGAAGTACAATGGAAAGTGCTCTCCCAGTCCAGGAAGCTCGCCCAGAGTCTTTGGTAAGTTTCTATTTCCGCTTAGCGGCTCCAGTACTATCCAAAAACTCAATTTAGCATTGTAAAACTAATTAATCTCTGAATAATCAAATTTCGAAATCGCTATAATCATTTATTATGAACGCTTATAGAATGTCATGAAACAGTCAACTTTGAGCTCAGTTATCTCGGTTCCTATGAGAGAGATCAAAAAACTGTTCTCTGACGAAACATTGGTGATATTAGGATAACAATTTTATCACTTGACAGATTTTTGATATCTCTCATAGGAACCGACATAATTATGCTCATTGTGCACCTATAGGATGAGCTTCAATAAGAGCAAACCCAGAATCTTTTCATTTACAGCTCGCAAGACTTCTGAGCCAGCCAGTTTCCCCGCCGCGGCCAGTGCGCCGTATAATTGTTCCAGAGTCAGATGGTAGTCGTCCTGTGCGTATTACGGTAATAAGAATTAACTATTGCGAATACTGATTTTATATATCTTCCAGCCAGTGGTCAACAACTACTTCCCACCGCACGACGCCTCCTTCAACTACAATGAATGGACTGTTAGTTTTTTTTTCAAATTCTGTTGGTTTCTGAAATTCCTAGAAGAAACCAGTATATTTTAAGTCTGCCAAACAAGAGAAAAATTCTTGAACGTCTGAGAAAACTTTAATTTTTGCGGAGAAAAACTAAAAATTGAAAAAAATAATTTTTCAAAATTCCAAGAAGAAAACTAGATTTATTCGAAAATCCGACCAAAAACTTCCCATTTTTCCAGAAATTCGAAATCAACGAGTTTCTCGATCAGCTTATCCACGATAAGATGCTCGTCCATGCGATCATGTGTCATGGTATCACTGGATCCGCCCTCTACTCATGCTTCCTGCACGAGGAAATGAGCGAAAACTTCAGAAGAACCGTCGGATACTCACCAGGCGTCGCCATGAAACTTCGTATGGCTCTTGGAAATGTTCATAACGAGTTTTATGGAGTTTGAGATGCTTTTTTCCATACCTTTCCTCTTCTTCAATCTCAAAACTTCATTATCTTTTTTTTCACCGGTCCCTATTTTTCAGTTCTCTTATCCTCACAATTCTTCTGCTTGAAATTTACTGGTCCGGTTTTATTTTTTTACCTTCAAAATTTCATTTTTTACTCAAAAAACAATAATCTAGTATCTTTCAAACCGCTAAAAGTTCCCTTCCGATGATTACGGTAGTTTCATAGGATTACTGTAATTTCATGAGATTTCTGCAGTTTTGTTTGGATAACTGTAGTTTCATACGATTAATCTTGTTTTATTGGATTACTCTTGTTTATTCAATATTACTGTAGTTTTAAGGAATCACTGTAGTTTCCTATGACTACTGTAATTTTATGAGATCACCGTAGTTTACGAGATTACTGTAGTTTCATAGATTACTCTTGGATTACTGTAGTTTTAATCAACGTTTTCGCCGGCTTTCTCAAAACACCCACAAAGAACCCTTCTGAATCAGGTTTTCCATCCCATCTCTAAAATTCTTTAATCATGAAAAAATCAATAAATTCTTTATTCATTTCGCAAACTTCACTCTAATTTTTAATGCCACTAAACCAACAATACGATACACAAAGAACGAGACAAAAAGAATCAGAACGTTCACATAAAGCGGAGTATCGATTCCACGACGGTCTAGAATTCCTTGCCCATTGACTGCCGGGCAAAATGCTGACGTGGAATTCGTAGAAAACCGATTCGTCGAATTGCACCCAGGAATTTCCGGAATCTGGTTCCACTGATTTGCTTCGAGAGCTTCGAATCCATGTTTGAACCAGGATAGGTAGGAAATGTGACGGAAATACGAGGGAATGTTGTTAGCGTTAATGTAGAATCCTTAAAATAATTTTTTGGAATTTTAGATTCTGAGCAATTCGTCTTTTCGAATTTCTCAAAAAAATTTAATCGAAAAAAATTCCTCGGAAAAATTTTTTGTCTTAAAATTTTCGAGAATTGTTTCGATAAATTTTCCGAGAAATGAATTCCTTGAGATTTCTCAAAAAATGCGTGATTCGAAATTTCGGAATGTCTTTCTGACATTCTTTACGTTTTTTGGTCATTTTGAAATGGCGTCCCAACTTTCGTAAGATGGTGTTTCTAGGCCACCACTTTTTTTGGCCTAGAAATGGCCTAACATGCCCCTGGTGTGTTTTCTAGGTCATTCCAAAGTGGTGGACTAGAAAATTCAACATGCAAAAGTTCGGCCACCACTTCACCACAGGTATTTTAGGCTATTTCTAAATTATTTTCACATGGTGGCCTAGAAAACCCAAATTGCAAAAATTAGGCTACCACTTTAAAGTTACATAGAAAACAAACTAGGGTCATTTTTGGCAGTTTCCACGCCATTTTTATGGTGGCCTAACTTTTGCAAATTGGGTTTTCTAGGTCAACAACTGAATGGGTTCCGAATGGGTTACTGTACCTCCAAACACAAGCATTGGGAGCACAAACATTGGCATGAAAGTGACAACGAGTCCTTCGTCTCCAAAGATACAAGCACCGACGTAAGCTGAAAATGGCAGATTAAAATGACCTAAGATTTTTCTAGGCCAGCTCACCAATGGACACAGCCACCCAGGTTAGAGTAATACAAACGAATACAAAAATGAAAAACGAGAAGATTGGAGATCCAACTAGTCCGGCCATCCAATAAACTACGGATCCATAGGTTAGTGGGAGAATTGTGTACTGGGGAAGTTCGGCCAGACTTTTTGCCAGAAAATATGCTTCTACAGAATAGATATTCGATTTGTGCTCGCGAAGAAAAACTGGGAGTTCAGAGGTGATGACCTGGAAAGTTTTCAGAATTTTTGGAATTTCAGAATTTCGAAAACTCACATTGACAGATGGAAAATAAAACAAGAAGGTCATGTCACGTGCACAGTTATACATGACACCTTCCAAATTTTGAATCGTTGGACCACTCAATTCAGTTCTCCAATTCACAATTCCAACCAAAATCGCAGTGACCACAATCTGTGCGAAACGAACACGAAGAAGAAGAGGATCACGGAATGTTGTACGAAGTGATCGTTTCAGCAAAACTTGGAATTGAGTGGCAAACGACGAGTTGTAGCGGGATCTGAAATTCTTGGGTTTCAGAACATTCCAGAATAAAATTGAACATAAAAATAGAATTGTAAAAATAAAGTTAAAAGCAAAAGGAGGTCCCAATATCGTTGACCTTATTAACCCAACTTTCACCTTTGAGCTAATTTATCTTGGTTTCAGTGAAAGGTATCAAAAAATGATCAACTGATAAAATATTTGCAATATTATGGTAAACATTTTATCAGTTGATTTTTTAGATACCTTTGACAGGAAATTAGATATATTGGCTCAAAGTTGACGGTTCGACTACTTACGGTACACAGACTTTACGACATTAGGAAAGAGTGTTTACGGTATGTCACAAGACCCCTATAAATTAACTGTTAAAGTTGAAGGGCCCTTCTAATACAGGTGTTACGGTGACTGTAACTCACTCTCCATCATCATCATCTTCCTCTCCGTATCCTCCAAATTCGTCAATTGTAGTCCGAGTGTTTTGTAGCATTTTATGGCCAATGTCACTTTTTTGGTACTCAGAGATTATGAACTTAATAAAACAATTAATTTTTTTATTGATTCATTGGCATTCGAGTTTTCAGAAATATTAAATTTTTTATGAACGATTCTTGACATTTTCGATTTTTTGGAACTTTACATTTTTTCAAAATATTACAATTTCACGATTTTCCAAACTTTTGATTTTTTTTTGAATTTTACGATTTTTCAAAAAAGTATTCGGAGATTCACGAGTTTTCTAAAAGTTCAAATTTTCGAATTTCACGATTTTTGAAAAATTGATGAGTATCAAGAATTTTTGAATATCACGCTTTTGAATTTTGGGATTACGAAATTCCATGAGTTCACGGATTCAGCAATATCCAAGGATTCCAATTCTTGATTTTTTAAATTCCAATTTCTGGACAGCTTGGATTACTGTACCTCAATTCTCTGAATATCTTCCTGTTCTGTCTCTGGACTAATCGAAATCTCTGACATTACAAAATCTGCGGGATTATAACTTTCAGGCACACGGAACTCCAATCCTAGCCCATCAAAAAATGGACAGAGCTTGTCCACAGCTCCATGGTAAACAGTTTTTCCAGTCGCCATGAAACACACTTTATGAAACATTCGGAATACTGTAGACGATGGTTGATGGAGGACCACAATTATTGTTTTTCCTTTTGCAGCGAGATCCAACAGAGCACGAACGACTTCAGAAGCCATGAGGCGTCGAGACCGGACGTTGGTTCATCGCAGAATAGGATTTGGGGATCCGTTAGAATCTGGAATGATACTGACTCCAAAACTACAGTAAGCCTTGTCAAGTTTGAGCTCAATTATCTCATTTCCTGGGAATGTTATCAAAAATGTGTCACCTGACAAAATACTTCTGATATTATGATAAAAAATTTATCAGTGGACAAATTTTTGACATCTTAGACAGGAACGAAAAAAATAGGTTGTTTCACAGGGGTTACGGTAATATTAAAAATTTGCTTTTGGCGCCAAAATTTTCCAAAATTTGAAAATCTCACCTCACAAGCAAATGCCAATCGTTTTTTCTCTCCAATCGAAATACCTTTCATTCGATTTGGGATACCTGGAAAATGATTTTTTGTTGTAATTTTTTGAAAATTGTCTTTTTTTTTGAGTTTTATGGTCGCTCTTGGTGTAGTGGCTTGCGCGCTACGTTTTTGCCCACGCGACGCAGGTTCGAGTTCGGTCGGCGGCATCTCTTTTTTTTTTGGTTTTTTTTTTTCAACTCACCAATCAATGTATTCTGACAATCAATAAGGTTCATATCCCTTAATACACTCTCCACTCTTTCCATTTTTTGCTCCGCAGTACAGTCCTTCATCCTCATATGTGCCTAAATATTTTGGATCTTTTTTTCGAATCTTAAAAAAATTGGACGTACGGTATAAGTCAATTGTTCCCTGACAGTCAATGTACCACAAAAGAGATCCACCTGCTGCACATACGCACACATTTGACGCATTTTTTGTTTTGTGATCTTTTTTCCATTTACAGTGACGTCACCATAATATTCAACGCCATTCGTATCCAAATGAGCCAAAATATTCATTAAAGTGGTTTTTCCGGCTCCACTACCTCCCATTAGAGCCAAAACTTCTCCTGGCTCGGCGACTCCGGAAACTGAAAACTTCAGATACTCAGAATTCAAAATTTCAGAATTTCAGAATCGTAGAAAATTAGAATATCAGAATCTCAGGATCTCAGAACCTCAGAACCTCAGAATCTCAGAATTTCAGAATTTCCGAATTTCCGAATTTCCGATTTTCCAATTTTCAAAACTTTCTAAATATTCCCAAAATCAATAACGTGAACTTTCGAGAATTTGGAGTCATGTTTTTCGGAAAGTTCAAACTACAGTAAACCTACAAAACTACAGTAATCCCTAATAACAACAGTAATCCGATGTACCGAGAGTAATCCATGAATTTGAGACTTTCAGAATTTTTTGTATTTTTAGGATTTTATAAATTTTTCGAGGCTTTGAAGAAATTTCTGATTTATCTGACTTTCCAATTTTTTGGTTCGAATTTTTCAGAATTTCTCAAATTTTACCATTTTTAATAACCTCCTTTCTACCACCACCAGCTTGGGGTACTGTAGCCACAATTCCACTCCACGCGATCTTTTTTCTCGTCTTTTCTGTGTCCCCAATCTGAAAGATTCCGTTTTTGGTTTCCCCCTTTTTTGGGGGCGGAGCCTATTTTCACCTTGATTTCCGTCGTTTTTTCCGAATTGTCAATCAACGAAGCATTCGAAACATTTTGCATTATTTCACAGAAATCAATACAAAATTTAATGTGGAATAAATTTTTTTTTGTAATTTTTGATCCCAAGAATTTTTTCTCACGGGAACGATCCCAACGTCATCGAAACCTGGATTCCTTTTTTCTAATCAGCTTATCAGAAAACACTATTTTCCAATTTTTAGCCATATCACTAAAGTAAGGCTTCCATTAAGATAGGTCGAAAATCGTCGACTGCTGACCGACCGTTGGCCCAGCCGACCGGAGTTTCGGAGTGTCGTTTCTGACAGTTTTGTCATTGTAACGTGGTGCCTAACTTTGGCAAGTTGAGCACCGCCTTTTTTTGGCCTAGAAAACCCAACTCGCAAAAGTTAGGCCACCACCGACCAATTTTTGGTAATGCGTCGTAAAATGAAATTCTGCGCTCTCTTGCATATTGACGAGCAAATTCAAGAATTCGGTCGGCGGTTGGTCGGTCCTTATATTTCCAGAAATTTCCAGAAAAATGAAAAACAAGCTATAAAATCCATTAGTTTTCGTTATCATCTTCCTCGTCGCGACCATTATCACTATTCTGGGAACAATTGGAATTTGGAAATGGAATATTGAGAAGATCCCAACCAAAGAATCCTGGAAGTCTGTAAATCCAGAACGGAACTCTTCAAAAATTCCTGAAAATTCCACCAGAAATGTCTGTGAAACTCCAGAATGTGTGAATTTGGCTCATGAATTGGTAACGATTTCCCAAAATTTTTCAGAAAAAAAGTTCTCTAAAAATTTCAGCTAAACTGGCGAGACAAAACTGTAAATCCCTGTGACAATTTCTATAAAGCATCGTGTGGAAATTATATCGAACTTGAGATAACGGATGGGACGAGAAATACGAAAAAGGGAAAGGTGATTAAGAGACTGATTAAAGGTAAAGTGACCCGAAGAAATATACAGTAATCTTTTTCTCAGAAATTTTGGTAAAAAATCACGAAACCGAATCGAAATCGGAAAACACCATGAAGCAATTGTATTGGAAATGTGAGGATTTGAAAAATAAAACGGTAAGTGAGTTACTGTAGTTTTCAAGGATTTTTGTAGTTTAATTGGATTACTGTGAACATTAAGTATTACTGCAGTTCTAAGATATCACTGTAGTTTGAGCTTTTCAAGGACTTTTTTGAAATTTCCGAAAATCCGGAAAATTCAAAAAATTCTGAAATTCTGAAATTCTGAAATTCTGAAATCCTGAAATTCTGAAATTCTGAAATTCTGAAATTCTGACATTCTGAAATTCTGAAATTCTGAAATTCTGAAATTCTGAAATTCTGAAATTCTGAACTTCTGAAATTCTGAAATTCTGAAATTATGAAATTCTGAAATTCTGAAATTCTGAAATTCTGAAATTCTGAAATTCTGAAATTCTGAAATTCTGAAATTCTGAAATTCTGAAATTCTGAAATTCTGAAATTCTGAAATTCTGAAATTCTGAAATTCTGAAATTCTGAAATTCTGAAATTCTGAAATTCTGAAATTCTGAAATTCTGAAATTCTGAAATTCTGAAATTCTGAAATTCTGAAATTCTGAAATTCTGAAATTCTGAAATTCTGAAATTCTGAAATTCTGAAATTCTGAAATTCTGAAAATTTTCAGATCTTCAATTCGCAATACAACAAAATGATGAAAGAAATTTTCCGGGATATTCAATTTGTTGGTCCTTCCCCCATTTTTAATTCAAAATGGAAACCATCAATGTTTGATTTGAATAGTGACATTTTAAAAAAGTTCTATAATTTTTTGAGAATTTTCAGAAATGCTTTCAAATTTGGCAAAACTAGGCCATTATAACTTTGGATTGTACAAATTGACTAAGCGGCAAGGATGGGATATGGTTTTGGAGACTGATTATGAAGGCGTCCAGCATTCTGGAGAGCAGAAAATGTTTCAGGTGTTGACTATGACTCTTTAAACAAAAAACAAAAAAAAGTTGCGCCTGTGGGACTCGAACCCGCGTCGCCTGGGCAAAAGCATAACGCGCTTGCCACTACACCACGGGTGGCCACTAGAGATGGTGGTGGCGAGGGCGTATACGTGAGCGGCCTTTTCTAGCCCTCTCGGTCATTGTAAAAACTTGAAGAAAAAATTTAGATAATCTCCGCTATCCTCGAAGCCAATCAAATCAAATTCAATGAGAGTTCAATCCATGAAGATTTACGAAATGTACATGAATTTTATGAGGAGCTGAAAGTGGTGAGCCTCCCTTAATCTTAATCGATTGTATAAAAAATTTCCAGAATTCCTCTGGATGGAACAAATTGGCGAAAATCGCTCCTAATATTCAATTTGAGACGATTCTCAAAAATTTACTACACCCGAAAAATGGAAATTGGACAATGCTGAGACCGAAAATTCTAAATGCAGAAGCGGTTTTTGAGAAATTTTCCTTGAATCGAACGGTAATTTTTTCTCCTTTTTAAAAATATTTTCAAGTTAGGCTGTCATTCGGTAGGGAAATTTAGCCGGCCGACCGACCGTCGACCGAGTTCGTACATATGCGCGTCAACATACCAGAGAGTGTTTGCGTACGCGGCACGTACGTAAACACTCTGGCTAATGACGCGCAAATACAAGAGTTCGCCGACTATCCGGTCGGCGGTCCATCGGCGGCCGCCGATTTTCGACCGACAGAAATATAAGCCTTATTTTGGGAAACTATTCAAATAGTAAACAATTTCAGAATACTAATGGAACCCTGTCTAAAATTTTGGCAAATTATTTGGTTTTGAGATTCATCAAAAATTCGTATTCTTCAATTTCCTACACGGCTACTGTAGCATCGAACAGAGCATGTGATGACGTAAGACTACAAACACTACAGAGACTACAAACTACAAAAATTTTCCAGCTAGTCATTCATAATTTGCCACGTGCCACACTCCGTGCCTTCGTACAACATCATTTCGATAGAGAAAATCTGAAAATCGTATCAGAAATGCTGGAAAAAACGAGACATACCTATTTGGAAATCATTGGAAATACCACGTGGCTATCGGAGGAAGGAAAAAAGCGCGCGAGTTTGAAAATTGAAAAAATTAAAAAATTGGTCGGATATCCGGATGAATATAATAAAAAAGGAGCACTAGATGAGACTTTCGAGACATTAGATACCAAAAAAACAGATTCATTTTATACCCTAATGAAGAAAATCAAAAAATATCGAGCTGAGATTTTGATGGATTTTATTGCGTTCAATAAGACACTGGATCCGAATAAAGAATTGTTTACGGTTAATGCATTCTATTCAGCGGCATTGAATCAATTGAGTGAGTTTGTAGTTTGTAGTTCATGTAGTTGTGTGGAGCTCCAGGATTTTTCGAAAGTGGAGATGCTTACTTGAAGATTCTAGAAATTCTGAAAATCCGTAAATCTTGAAGTTCCAAAAAACATGGTTCCAAATTTTGAAATTCTGAAAACTTGCGTGATTCTACCGTATTTTCAGGTATAATGGTCCCATTCATCGATGAACCCAACATGGATTCCTCTTATCCAGTTTATGCGAAATATGCAGTGACCGGGGATATTCTAGGTCATGAAATGGGTCACAGTATGGATACATTAGGAATTCAATGGAATGAGTTTGGAGAATATGAGAGATGGATGCCAGAAGAAGATGAAAAGAAATATAAAAAGAGAATTCAATGTCTGAGAGATCAATATGAACATTATGATGATCCAGATTTCGGGAAACATGTGAGTTGACTTTTGGGTAATTCGAGACTCGGAAGTTTTGGATTTTCAAAGAAGCGTGAATTTTAACATTTTTAACTTTATTTATTAGCAATTCGTTTTGAAAGTTTACCTAATTCATGACTTCTGAAAAATTCTGTAAGTAGAAAATTGGAAAATCTTGTAACTCAAAAAAGCTTGGAAACGTGAAAATCGAAAAATTCGGATTTTTTTCGAAAAAAAAATGAAATCTTGGAAAAAGTAAATCTGGAACGTCAAAAATGGGAAATTCTGGTATATTCGAAATAGGAAGATTCTGAATTTTTGAATTTTCGAGTTTCCGGATTTCCGAATCTCAGAATCTCGGAATCTCAGAATCTCAGAATCTCAGAATCTCAGAATCTCAGAATCTCAGAATCTCAGAATCTCAGAATCTCAGAATCTCAGAATCTCAGAATCTCAGAATCTCAGAATCTCAGAATCTCAGAATCTCAGAATCTCAGAATCTCAGAATCTCAGAATCTCAGAATCTCAGAATCTCAGAATCTCAGAATCTCAGAATCTCAGAATCTCAGAATCTCAGAATCTCAGAATCTCAGAATCTCAGAATCTCAGAATCTCAGAATCTCAGAAAACCTCAAAAAGAAAGAATTTCAGAAAACCTCAAAAAGAAAGAATTTCAGAATTTCAGAATTTCAATTTTTTCAGCTCGACTCCTCCAAAGTCATCAACGAAATCATTGCTGACCGCCACGGAATCGACGCGGCCATTCAAACCTACCGTAGCCTCAAACTACAAAATGAGCCAAAAATCATTGGTTTCGAAAATGAGAGTCCCGAAAAAATGATGTTCCGGATATTAGCCCTGGTAAGAAGAATGGGGTTATTGTATCTCTATTTTAGGATTACTATATATTTTTGTTGGGATTTGGTTTATGGGGTTACTGTATCTCTATTTTGGGATTACTGTTTTTTTTTATTGGAATTACTGTACTTCAATTTTTTTCGTTTCAGGATTACTGTGCTCCTCGATCCACGCATTCATTAACATATAGTATTCACCATAACACGCATCCAACAAATAGTTTTCGAGTTAATGGAATTTTATCGAACCTAAAATCATTTTCTGATTCTTTCAACTGTCCTTTAGGATCTGCAATAAATCGGAAAACAAAGTGTCATCTTTTTTTGGAAGAATAAATATTTTTATGTTTCTTTTATCGTTTTTCCAGAATTTTATTGGAAATTTATGACCATCGGACACAGAAAGTAAACACAATGATAAAAATATAAAAGCCGTGTCTTTTTTCTTTTTTTTCTCGCTCGAATTTTTTCCAACTCACGGTTTCTTGATATTTTTTCAAAGTTTTTGCCCTTCGGATTACGGTAGTTTTAGAGGATGGAGTAAGTATCTTTTTCGAAAATTTTGAAATTTTTTGGAATTTAAATTACAGTAACCCGGAGCAAATACAATTATTGACTACTGACCAGAGTCGTGAGGAGTCGGAAAGGAATCGAGAAGCTTTAGAAAAATCCGTAGATTCGGAAAAAATCAAAAAAGTTACAGTATCCCAGAAGAGATACTATCTAACGATAATTGGATTAATTTTGATAATTGTGGTGCTGTTAATTGCATTGTTGACGTCACTTTTACTGTCTGGGAATGCTGGTGGGAATTTGAATTTTTTAAATATTAAAATTTTCGATTTTTCAGAAAAGTCTAGAAAATTGGAAACGTGTTGGTCAAAAGAGTGTTTGGGAATCGCAGCAATGATGGTTGGTTTTTTGGAAAATTCAGAAATTCAGAATTTCTGAAATCCTGAGAATGTGGAATTCTGAGATTCAAAAATTGTGAAATTGTGAATTCTGAAATTCTGAGATTCTGAGATTCGGAAAATTCGGAGATCCTGTGATTCTGAGATTCTGAGATTCTGAAAATTCTGAGATTCTGAGATTCTGAGATTCTGAGATTCTGAGATTCTGAGATTCTGATATTCTGAGATTCTGAGATTCTGTGATTTTGAGTTTCTGAGATTCTGAGATTCTGAGATTCTGAGATTCTGAGATTCTGTGATTTTGAGATTCTGAGATTCTGAGATTCTGAGATTCTGAGATTCTGAGATTCTGAGATTCTGAGATTCTGAGATACTGAGATTCTGAGATTCTGAGATTCTGATATTCTGAGATTCTGAGATTCTGTGATTTTGAGATTCTGAGATTCTGAGATTCTGAGATTCTGAGATTCTGAGATTCTGAGATTCTGAGATTCTGAGATTCTGAGATTCTGAGATTCTGAGATTCTGAGATTCTGAGATTCTGAAATTCTGATATTATGAGATTCTGAAATTTTGATATTCTGAGATTCTGAGATTCTAAAATTCTAAAATTCTAAAAATTACGACGTTTTCGACATTTTTCAATTTTTGAAATTTTTCGAGAACGGAATACTTTAAAAGTCCAGAATATAATAGTCCCGTGAACTACAGTAATCTCACGAAATTCAGAATTTCGAAAACATCGAAAATTTTGAAATTTCAGAATTATAAGAATATCAGAAATGCAGAATTCAAGAATATCGTAATTTTCGATTCAAGATTGACAAAATTCAATAATCTTTTTTTTTTTGAAATTCTAGAATTTCGAAATCACCTGACCATGCCGAATTGAAAAAAAATCATTTTATTTGAAAATCATAAAAAAGTTTAGAAACGAAATAGAACATCGTGATTTTTAATCCAAATTTTCAGAAAAACTATCAAAATACAAGTGTGGAGCCGTGTGAGGATTTCTTTGAGCACTCGTGTGGCCGGCTCCATGAGCACATGCTAGAGGACTCCAATTGGGGATATAGCCAGTTCAGAATGTTGATGTATCAGGTTTTTTGTGAGTTTTTTTTCAGATTTTTTTCTTTAAAAATTTTCAAAAAAAAAATTCCAGCTATAATTCGAAAAACTAAGAAATTCACTTCTCGACCCAAAGAGCAACTTCGGATTTTCGCTAAAAAGTGTTTGGACCGTGGAGCCATGAATAAGGATAATTTGGAAGGACTGAGAAAGGATATTCAGATGAGAGGAGGATTTCCAATGATTGATTCGAATTGGGATGAGTCGAAGTTTGATTTGAGTGGTTAGTGAGAGGACATCCGGATACACAGAAATCTAGCTAACTTTAAGGCCCTACGAAAGTAGTTCAGAATTTTTCGATTTTTCTGAAAATTGGAGACTATACTAAACACAAATAGAGCTTCAATTTTGTAGTTGACAACTTGTCGTGAAATTGTATTTAAATGAGATAGACCGCTTAAAAAGGAATCTAGCGCCATTTCGGAAAGTTTTGCACTTGCTTGCTTTCAAGTGATAAATCTCACTCGGATGAAATTGTACAGAAAAGTTGTCAACTACAAAATTGAAGCTCTATTTTTGATTAGTATACTCTGAAACTTTCAAAAAAAATTGACAATTCTGAGCTACTTTTTTAGACAACCAAAGTTTGCTATTTTCCACTGAAATAGTCAAAATACAATACATTTTTGGATTAGAAATGTTATAATTAAAGCATTATCTGAAACCAAAAAAAAATTATCTCAGGACATCTGGACACCCGGACGCACAAATTCACTTTATTAGAACTTAACTTTCCAGAAATGCTGTCCAAGTACCTCTCGATAAATCGTAATCGAATGGGTTTCTTATCAGTTGAACCATTCACTACTGTTGAAAATGGTACAGTAGTCAATATGCTCTACGTTGGACCCGGTCCACAATACGTTTACAATTATGCAATGTCAATTGGAATTTATAAGGACTCGGTGGCTTTTGTGAGTTTGGAAACTTCTGAAGTTCAGAAAATTTTCAAAACCAATAATTTTAGATTCTTGAACGACTATTGAAACTGGAAAATCGCACACTGAATCGTACCGAATATGAGGAAGAGTTTCAGAAATTGGTGGATTTGGAGGAGAGATTTGCGAATGTGAGTTGCCAATTTTTCTCTGAAAAGTTGAAAAATTCTAAATTCCAGCTTGCTGACTATAAAAATCTCAACTTGGACAATGACAACATGTCCAAAGCAAAAAATCTCAGTGACTTAGCTAAAATGATCCCAGAAATTGATTGGTATAAAATTATGAGAGCACTACCTAGACAGAAAATGACGTCAGAAGAGGAGAAGAAATTTTTCTCGAAGATTCGGGTTCATGGAGGTGGAGAATACTTTTTTGGAGAGAAAAGGGAGGTGAGTATTTTTAATTTTTTGAAATTTGAGAAAATCTGGAATTTGTCAAAAAAACCGTGGACGCGTGAATTTAGAAAAATCAAAATTTTTTAAAGTGTCAATTTTAAAGAATTCAGAGATTAAAAACCGTGATTCACGGAAATTCAAAGTTTTTGAAAAAAAAACTTAAAATTCAAACTTGTAAAAAATTGTGAAAATGTGTAAAAATCGTGTAAATTAAAATTTTGAACGCTAAAATTAAAAAAAGAGAAACATTGAAAATGGCGAAAATTGAATCACGGGAAGTCAAAAACTTTAGATCTGCGTTAATCTTTTCTAGCCTACAGTAATCCTGTGAACTACAGCAATCCTCTATAAAACGACAGTAATTCTTCAAAACTACAGTAATCACGTGAACTATTGCAGTCGTTCCTAAAATGAAAATTGAAAATTCTGAAAAGTTTCTGAGATTTAAAAAAAGTTTCTGAGATTCTGAAATGCTGAAATTCTGAAATTCTGAAATTCTGAAATGCTGAAATTCTGAAATTCTGAAATTCTGAAATTCGGAAATTCTGAATCTCCCTTTTTTCATCATACTCTAAAATTTTCGGAATCCGTCAAAACTTCAGTACCTCGACATCTACTGTATTCCAGCTTGCTCAAATCGCCATAACAACCCCAAAAACAGTGCTTGCCAACTATCTGGTGGTCCGCCAAATTATTGATGTTGCCCTTTATTATTACGACAAAGATCAACCAAGACAAGGAAAGTTTTATAATCATGAGAATCAACAAGTGTTTTGTGTAGATGTAATATTTCGAACATTTTTAAAACTTTCCTTTTTTCAATTTTCCAGCAACTCGCCTTCTTTTTCCCAATGCCCTCAATGAATGTGTTCATCGAAACCAGCGGATATAAAATGGAAAATTTGAAAATCATTGAAAGGATTTTCAAAGAAATCAAGCTGGAATATACCCAACTTTTCCAAGAAAACCAGTGGTTGGAGCCGAAAATTCGAGAATTTTTTATCAGAAAATTGAATGCGATTAGTGGAAAATTTGGGTTTCAAGAGTACATAGAGGGACAACCTTTGCTGGAAAAAATGTATCAGACTGTAAGTGTAGTTTGTAGCCTTTGTAGTAAGTTTGTAATTTTCAGCTAGACTTCCTGGAAACGGACACCCCTTATCAGATTTATATGAAAATGTGGAGGCATCGAACGGAGCAAGTAGTTGAGCATATAATGTATAACACACCATTGAATCCAGTGAATTTGAGACAATTTGCATTGTATGCTGCATATAATTCGTATGGAAATGTTTTTAGTAAGATTTGAAACTTTTGAATTCCCGCCAAACCATATCTTTCCAGACATCAATCTTGCCTATCTAACTTATCCATGGTTTGATGCGGATTTCCCGTCCTACAGTAACTATGGATATTTGGGATATGTGATTGGTCATGAAATTGGTCATGCGTTTGATCATTTTCATAGAAAACTTGATGAAAACGGAATTCAGCATAAATTTTGGTTAACCGAAACGAATTCGTCGAATATTGAATATAATAAAAGGGAGAAATGTTTGAGAGATCAGTACTCGAGCTATAAGGAACCCGGTTATGACTTTTTTGTGAGTTTTTTCAAAGTGTGAATTTTGACGTGACGGTGTACAGTGACCCGTGTCTACGTGACCGTCGTGCCGCTTTTATTTATGACCTCGGTCGGCCGCGTAGCTTGCTCCACCGTTGCTCATCATAACTAACTTTGAGCGCAATTATCTCGTTTGCTGTGGAAGATATCGAAAAGTGGTTCACTAACAACATATTTATTACAACATCAACAGCAATTTGTCCGTTGACCACGTTTTGATATCTTTCACCGAAACCGAGATAAATTTGGTCGAAATTGTAGGACCCTACTTTTGGAGGGTTTACGGGCCACGTTTCTTTTGGCCCACAGGATACTTATTTCATTTTTAAAAATTATTCATGATGTGGTTTATTAGAAAAGTGTAGTTCTAGATTTTTTTTTCTATATTTTCTAAACTTTTCAAACAAAAAATTATCAGCGGCTTGCGTGAAACATTAAAAAATAAGAATTACCGTAATAACTACTTTTCAACTTTGAGACAGTTTATCTAGGTTGCTGTGAAAGATATCAAAAAGTAATCCACTAACGAAATGTTAATCATAATGTCAAAAGTATTTTGTCAGCTGACCACTTTTTGATATTTCGCATAAGAACCAAGATAATTTGGACCAAAGTTCGGAGGGCCTTCCGTTACGTATAGGCCATTTCAGCAGATGGGGTTTACGCTCACGGGATTTTTATCTCTCAAAAGTTTTGATTATTTTCCAGATGAACGGCACTGTAACTCGATACGAAATTGTTGGGGACCATCTCGGTCTTCGAACTGCTTATAGAATATTCAAAAAAGCTGAAAATTTGGATACTGTAAAATTGCCAGGATTTGATGACGTTTCACCGGACCAAATGTTCTTTTATAGTTATGCACTGGTGAGTCGTTTTCACAAATTTTAGACTTTCTTTAATTTGAATTTAAGATTTTTCAAATATTGACTTTAAACAACGTTTCACTTCAATTTTTCAGAGACAATGCGACATCTATAACCCAACTATAAGACCCGAATATCTGAAAGGCCGTCCCCACCCTACAAGCCGTTTTCGAGTGAATGGAGTCATTCAGAATCTTCCAGAATTCTCAGAAGCGTTTAATTGTCCCAAAACGGCGGCTATGAACTTGAAAAATAAATGTACACTTTTCTAAACTTTCCGGTTTTTCTTTTTCGGCCGACAATTGATAAAGCGGGCGCGCGCTCACGCTGACGAAAATCGACGGCTGCGAGACCCCGCAAATTCCGGGGAAAGAAAAAATCGGGGGAAAAAAACCGGGGAAAGCGGGCGGAGTCGAGAAAAACCGTGCGGCAAAACCGTGCCAGGGTTGCAATTTAGGCTCCGCCCCCTCATGACCGTGTCCAAATGTGCAGAAAAACCGTGCGGCAAAACTGCGCCAGGGTTGCATTTTAGGCTCCGCCCCCGACTCCGCCCACTTTCCCCGGTTATTTTTCCCCGATTTTTTCTTTCCCCGGAATTTGCGGGGTCTCGACGGCTGCAAACGATCGTCAGAAAGTGCGCCCCGTTGAACAAAATCTCGCGCGACATTCAAATTTAGTTTTTTCGTTCAAAAACAGTTTCGAACTGAATTTCGATCAGATTCCCGAATAAAAAAAGGAAAAAAGCTCATAAGAAACAAAACACTTGGTTTTTTGTCGCCAATGCTTTTTTACAATATTTTCTGTAGAAATCTAGTCATTTCGTTCACATTGTTGTGAAAAAATGGTCGAGCTAATAGAAAATCGAAAAAATCGAAAATTTGGAAGTTCGAAAACCATTTAATTTAAAATCCAGAAAGTTCGAATCCGAATTTCGAATGACTGATGATAAACTTTCAATATTCCGAATTTCCGGAAATCTGAGTATCTGAAATCCTGTTACCGTAAAACCTGTATTAGAAGGACCCCCATAATAGAAGGGCCCTCTGTAAAAAAGCAAAAACCATATTTCGGCTCCTATTGAGAACGGGCTAAAATTTTAATGAGTTTGGTTTCAGCATGTTCGAGAGTACCTTTGTGCAAGTTTTGAGCAAATTCTCAACCGGTATCTGAAAAAAGTTCCCTTGTAAGGGGGTACCCCATGGCATTTTTTCAATAAACTTTTTTGAAAAGATAAGAATACTCTTCCAGATTGTTTAGCAACATTGGAAAATACAACTTACAGTCACAAAAACACTAAAAACTTTCACTATGTCTTTCAAAAATTCGCTCTCAAAGTGAGAAATCGGTATTTTCCTGAAATAGGTCAGCTTTTTTCAAACATCTTCATTATTTTTTCGATTTTCTATTAGCTTGACCATTTTTTCACAACAATGTGAACGAAATGACTAGATTTCTACAGAAAATATTGTAAAAAAGCATTGGCGACAAAAAACCAACAAAATAACAATAATTAGTGAGCAAAAGTGTTTTTAACTTTCCATAAGGAGTAATTTTGCTTTTTTTGTTTCTTATGAGCTTTTTTCCTTTTTTTTTTCGGGAATCTGATCGAAATTCAGTTCGAAACTGTTTTTGAACGAAAAAACTAAATTTGAATGTCGCGCGAGATTTTGTTCAACGGGGCGCACTTTCTGACGATCGTTTGCAGCCGTCGATTTTCGTCAGCGTCGCGCGCGCCCGCCTGTGTATGTCATCTGACCTCTTCCTTCCCGTCCGCCTCATTGGCTCAGTGGCAGAGCGTCTGTCTAGTAAACAGAAGGTCGCTGGTTCGATTCCAGCATGAGGCACCGAACTTCTTTTTTGTTTTTTATTTTATTTATAAGAGGTAGGGAAGACGATTTCGAGGAAATAATAAAATTTTGAGATCTCTGAAAAGAAGAAATTGAAAAATGCACCTGTCTTTGACTAATTTAGCATTTAATTCAGGAAGTGACTCTTCATTCATTCTTCTTTTCGTCAGAGTCTCAAAAATTACGTAGCCAAATTCTTGCTGAATGAATTTCTTAATTTTCAGCTGTTCATAGTAAAACTTTGGAGTATAAAATGGAAAGTGGGACTCTAGAATTTTTCATCAAACCCACAAAACTCCGCAATGTTCCATATTCCCACATATTCTGATAATTTGCTTTCTGGACCGCCTGATATTTTGAAAAGAAGGCAAAATTTGAGGATTCAAAGAAGACAATTGTGATTTTCATTGAATATTCCAACAATCGCCGCTCAATGAGTCTACGGGACATCTTCAATTTTTCACAATTGCTCGAACCACATATTTTTTCCGAAAATTTGATAATTTTAGAATAAAACTTTCATATCGTTGCAATTCTTTTTTCTTGTCACATAATCATGAATTTTCAAACCTTGACCACAGAGTGTGCAGTATTCCACGCAGAGTCCAAATTTCGAGTTTTTTCTCGAATGAATATTCTGAAAATTAATTTTGAGATTCTGAGATTCTGAAATTCTGAAATTCTGAGATTCTGAGATTCTGAGATTCTGAGATTCTGAGATTCTGAAATTCTGAAATTCTGAGATTCTGAGATTCTGAGATTCTGAGATTCTGAGATTCTGAGATTCTGAGATTCTGAAATTCTGAGATTCTGAGATTCTGAGATTCTGAGATTCTGAAATTCTGAGATTCTGAGATTCTGAGATTCTGAGATTCTGAGATTCTGAGATTCTGAGATTCTGAGATTCTGAGATTCTGAGATTCTGAGATTCTGAAATTCTGAAATTCTGAGATTCTGAGATTCTGAGATTCTGAGATTCTGAGATTCTGACTTTTTAACTTTTATTTGCCTAGCGTTCTAATTTGTTACCTTTTAATATAACCTCTGTATGTCGGAGTACTGATAATTAAAATAATTGCATTTACAGTCGAATGAAGGGCAAAAATTGCCAGTAGCAGCCGAACTACCGCTGAGAAAATAAACCATTTTCAAATACCAAAAAAACCTGTATTAGAAGGGCCCCCTAATCAATATTGAGCTCATTTATATTGGTTCCCGTCAGAAATATGAAAAAGTTGTCAACTGATAAATTGTTTATCATAATATCCCAAACATTTTTTTTCAATTGACACATTTTTGATATCTTACATAGAAATTGAGATAATTGAGCTCAACACTGACAGAGTATGCCATTCTATTACAGTTTTACAATTTCATGTCTTTAAAATCAAAAACTCACCCTGTGAATGTTCATAATGACTGATAATTGCTATCACTAATCCAACAGGAGGCAGCAGACACATTGATGACGTGGCAAGCTGAGCAATCAGACTAATCACAGCCGCTTGGTGTCTTTGGAAATTTTTAGCAGAGATTTTCTTCTTGACGCCGGATAATAATGTAAAAATATCAATGATAAGGAAAGAGAAAAATAATGAAAATAAAGTAACTGCGAAGAAGCAACCAACTGCGATGAGTTTGAAGATAAAGTTGAATTCGTAAATTGCGAAATTGAAGAGTTGCGAAAATTCAGTGTAGTAGTTGGGGTAGTTCTGAAAATTTTTAATTTGAAAATGCAAGGTTTTGTTATTTTCAAAATTTCAGAATCTCAGAATCTCCGAGGATCAGCATCTCAGAATTGCAGATCCTACCATTTTCACAAAATCCATCTGTTGATCCCTCTCTATTCCTGACAGCATAAACGTCACCAAACTCAACATCGTTCCAGAAACTGTTGATAAAGTGATAAGAGTGATAAGAAAAGGATTGATGACGTGGCGATGCATTATCTGCGCAATTCCCTGATGTTTTCTGACAAAACATAATGTTAGACACTTCATCATAGACACCATCAGAAGGATTATTATACCCTGAAAAATAGAAAATTACTGTTATGGCTCTTGTAGAGGCCGGCCCTATGCTTGCATTTTGAGCTTAATTATCTCGGCTGCCATAAAATAAATGAAGAATCTGTCAACTGATAAAATGTTGGTCATCATATGATGAAGATTTTATCAGTTGACATATTTTTGATTGCTCTCATAGAAACCGAGATAATTGGGCTCAACGTGCACTTCTACTAGAGCAAAGAAATTTTGAAAAAAAACCATTAAATAATGACACCAAATATTCAAGTTCACTGCTAAAAATCCTGTACAGAATCCTGCTACTATTGGAAATAATGGAATTGGCTGAAGTAAAAATGTCAGATAAAAATCGGTGCACATGCATAAAATCTGAAAATTCCAGAGTTCGAAAATCATCCCCTTTTTCTAATTTTCACCTGAAAACAAAGCAAATAATAACGAAAATTGTCCAATTTCGAGCTAACAAAAATCACTAAAAACAGACAAATCGAATTCAGAATTAATGAGCAAGTTCCAACAAAATGATAGTGAAAAACCAGCCAGGTTGGTGTCGAAAAGTCAATATGCATGGAAATGAATAATTGGTTTGAAAATTATGAAAAAAAGGAAAATCACATTTTTTCTAAAAAAAACAGATGTTTTGTGATCAGAGTTGTGCTGGAGGGTGTGATTAAGAAAAGTTGGAATTCTGAGAAAAATGTCGAAATTTAGCTTTTTTGGATTAGTTGGTTTTTGAATAAACAAAACTTTGGAAACGAAAGTGTTTTTTTTTAATTTGAAGGTTTTTTTTTCACTTTGAATGTTGAAGAAAGATTTCAGACAACCGTCATTGCTTTAATAAAATCATTATGTGCACTTTGAGCTCAAATATCTCGATTCCTATGACAGATATCAGAAAATTTTCAACTGATAAAATTTTTATCATAATATCACCAATATTTTATCAGTTGACAGATTTTTCATATCTCTCATAGGAACCGAGATAGTTAAGCCTAACGTTGAAGTTTTGGCAGGGCTGTTAGTAGAGGAAATGCGGTAGATGGAAAATTTTGAACCTCACAATTGGAATCTTGTCAGCCTCATAATTTATCCAAATTTCAAATTGTGGATCATAATTTTTTGTTTATAAGAATCTATAGGAAACTACTTTGGAAATTTAATGAAACTTCAAATTTTTTAATTTCGAGAACTTTTGACCTCATTAAAAATTTTATGGAAAAATGCATTCTTTACGTAGCAGTTGATATAAAAATTTAAATTATATAGAATTCATTTGAATAAAAATGCAAATAAAAATTAAAAATTACTCAAGCCATAAAATTCTGGAACAATTCTGCTATTTGGATTTCCTTGTTGCTCATGACTCATATTCTTTGATTGCCCCATATTCTGCATATTCCATTGATTCACGACTGGCTGTACCATTGGTTGTCCCATATTGTATCCATAATTCCACATATTCTGATATGGATTCATCCAATACTGATGAGCAGTTCCCATCATTGAAAAATCGAAATGTGCAGGATTTGGAAAGTTTTGAGCAATTGGAGAATGTCCATTTGAATTCTTTTTCGATGGTGGTGATGTACTTGAAGGAGGAGTTGGGAACGTTTCAGATGCAGTACGTTTGATGCCACGTGTCGAATTAACGGGCTTGTGATTTCCAGTTTCACGAAAACCAGATGCAAACTTATTGTTCTCCACTTTCAGATTCTTTACGGCTTGATTCTGAAATTATAAAGAATTAATTGTATGAATTAGAATTTCAAAAGCGTACCTGATACATAGTAACAGCCATGAACCACACATTTTCAATTCTGAATTCCTCATCGAAATCCGAATTCTCGTCTCCATTTTCCAATTTTCGAATAGTGACAACTGGACGCCATTTGTGCATACTTTGGAGGCAAATATGATCTTTTTTCTCTGTCTCTGGATTATTTGTCAATCGGATTTGCTCAAATGAAATTGGTCCGTCCATCCAGAACATTCCAGTTTGTCCTCCACTTTTATGTTTGATTTTTTGAATTGAAGTGATTGGGTCTCCTCTGGCATAGTCGTCCCATTTGTTGTCGGTGAAACGGTATCTGGAGAAAAATGTATGTAATACATAGGCTTGACTTTAAATTCAAAATGTTGATAGTACACAGAGCTTTCAAAACTAAAGATTCGTAGAAAAATTAAGATTCAAAAATCTGATGCTATTAAAATCTGATGCTATTATAAACTGATTAGTTCGAAATCTAATATTCTGATGAATTTGAACTGTCAAAATTTGTAACCTTCCTAGAACTAAATCCCTTTCCTAGAACTAGATCCCACTGAATCTTTATCGTTATAAAATATTTCTACTTTTAAAAAGTAGCTATTCTTCAGTAACCCTCCTACTCTAACTATTCCCCCACTCACTTATGTTCATCCATTCTCTCCATGTGCAAGTAGATCTCATACATTGCGGTAGGATTCAATCCATCAACCGAATATTCCAGATTCGGAAACATTTTTCTTCCAATCTTTTTAGTCAGAATCATCTCCATTGGACTGTTGAACTTCTTCCAAAGACCGGCATTGTTCAGAGTAACTTCGATTCCAGAAGAAGAGATCATTCTGAAAATTAGCGTTAGTTAGAAAGAAGAGAAAAAGGAGAATAGAAGATGAATAGTAGAAAAACAATCGATTAAACATCTAGGTCCGGTAAAAGACAGATCCAACCGACCAGTAGACGAGAAGAAGACTGAATGATGGAATGAATAACCGGAACTAACTAGACGACACCTAAAAACGGATAAGTGGGTGGAGCTTATTCTGTCATGTCATAAAAAGGGGAGGAGACCATGAGACAGGTGTGTTATGGTTACTGTATCGGACACTGTCAATGTTTTTCCCAGGAGACACAAATATAACCAGAGCTATTTTAATACCGGATGTAAATGAATTTAGCAAAATAAAAAGGAACATTTCAAGATGGAGAGTTGGAGAAGTTGATACTGAAAGCTAAGTACAGGGGTATATTGTGACTGACCATTTTGCTATATTGTAGCAATAGATCGTATACCAGGATACTGTTGATCGTATTTCGTTATCGAATAATATTCAAAACTCTAGTCTTTTACGTTAGCCAAGACATAATAAGCTTTGTTCTTTGTTTATTTGGACAGCCTCGTTTTTCTTCAAAAATGATTTCAGAAAAAAATTAAAGTAAAAATCTAAACTTGGTTCATTCAGTTAGATCCAGCAGTCAGTTACATCGGTTATATTCTAGTATCCTGGGAAAAGTCATTGACTGTGGATAGGTCCGGTAAACTGATTGAACCACGCATGACGGCGTTCTTTTAATTTATGATCTTTGGCGGCGTTTTGTGAAACAGCAACTTCTAGAAACGAAGCCAAAGAGAAAAGATTTAAAAAATCATTCTGGTGTTTTTGGTACCTTCTTTTCTTGAAAATCTCAAATTTTATTTTTTTTTCTTTTAGTGGACAATGACAGTTAATCTAGATTATATAAGTGTATGACTAGAAGTGTACTATCGAACCCTAAACTGGTATACTTGGATATCTGACCTGTCATTGTATACTTTTATAATTCACTCCGCCTTCTAAACTTCGATTTTCGAAATCCATCTATCTAAACTTGGTAAATTCGCAGCCTATTACAATAAGTTTCAAGTTTGAAATCTTCTAGGAATAAAGAAAAACGTATTTGAAATTAGCTGATTTTGTAATAGTCAAGCTGTTTGTTCGTACTGTGACTGAAATAGTATTGTAACTAAAATATCTCGGCTGAAATTGACAAGCAATTTGTAAGCCCCTTTTCAGTGTAATTTAACGTTTAATTCCCTTCAATTTCTTTGTCCGTACCGTATTTACGTGTGGATTTTAAGTGATGGAAAGTAAACTCCTATAGAGGATGCCTTGAAAAGCTGTGGCAGTCTTAAAAAGCACCTCGAGACATTTTCGGTAGCACAGTCTTCTTTGAGCACTTCTGTGGGTCATCAGAACTACCTATCGACTTCTGTATCTATAATAAGGAGCAGTTGACTTTGTGGTTCCATGAAAGCATCAAAAGCCAACGAAATTCTAACCGAAACAGTGCTGAAAAACACTAAATTGCGTATATTTAGCTGGAGAATTTGAAGACACGATCGTAAGTAAGCTGTGCTCATTTTGTGAATCATTTCAGGTTTAATAATTTATGTCTGAAACATAAATTGAGACAACAAGACACTCTGAACCAAACTTCTAGAGCAAGAGTCAACTAGAAGAGTTTGAGTGATAACAAGGATAACAACAACAGAAAAAAAATGAAGGAGAAATGATGGAAGCGGTCAAAGGGTTATAGAAGAAGTAGACAGTCGTGTGGAGTGGTACAACAGAGGTAGGTAATAAGGATAGTGTATGAGTTGTTCAAGGCGAGTAGCTGTTGAAGCGGTCTCCCTTATTGACGTCTCATTGGTGGTGGTTTCGGTCCTTTTCCCTGTAAATTATGGCTATATTCAGTGAATTATTTTTCACTCAAAAAACTTGCTGATTTTACCTTCTTTCTGTTGAAGTTATTGGTGTCCACAGCGTTGTCGACGAGACAAAAGATAGAGTGATGGTTGGTGGCGCTCTCCGGCAATCTAACCTCGATGCACGTGGGGCATCTAAGAGTGGCAGCGATGCATCCGACGTGCTCTTCGGTGTGCGCTGTTTGGCTCTTCTGAAGCGTTCTGCAGGATCACGGTATTTGAAGCAGACACCGGTCGAGTGGTTTCTCCAGCCGCAAAGCTTGCACTTTTCTCCCTTCTGTACTTTAGCCGAAAACTTCGCTACGTCAGCGGAGGCGATTATCGCCATTTGCTCGTTTTCAATAGCAGCGGTTTCAATCGATTTCAAATGTTATGACTGCGAAACCCTGTACTGCTTAAGCTATAAATTGGTATACCAGGATATCATCCACTGCAGTATATGTACCATAAACGGTTGGTCACCGTATACCGATACCGTAAAACCTGTAATAGAAGGACCCTCACACTGTCAAGTTTAAGTTTTTTTTCTTGTCTGCAATGCAAGATATCAAAAATGTGTCAACTGATAAAATTTTTTCTGATATTGTGATGAACAATTTTTCCATTGACAATACTTTCATATCTCTGACAGGAACCGAAAAAAGTTAACAAAGCTAACAGTTAGGAGGTCGTTCTATTACAAGTTTTATGGTACCTATGGTGCTTTATAACATCGAACCTTCCAGTTCCCCATTTAGCCATGGTTCATACTTAATTAGATCCGGTTATATGATTGTCTCCTGGGAATATAAATTGACTGTCATAGGCCTCAAACAAAATAATTGAAACACGCACGAGTCTCCTACTCTGTACCGGACCTATCACAGTCAATTTTTATTCCCAGGAGACAAGAATATAACCGGACCTAACGTCGGATCTAATTAAATGTACCAAGTTTAAATTTAACTTTTCCCTCAAACCGATTTCGAAAAAAATGGGCCTGTCTAAATAAATACCAGACTAAAAATGTGTTGCGAAAAAGGCTCTTGATTTATGATAAGAACTAAGACCAAGACTTAGCAAAATTATAAACCAACTCTCTAATATTCTGGCTTCGAAAATGTTGTTTTGGTAAAAGCTTCCAACTTTGAAAACACAAGGAATTTCGACATATTTTTACAGCTTCTTCGGTAATGACATACGATCTACAGTACCCTGCCGTACTATTTATCAGTTACAGTATATCAAAATGTCTGTTCCCCTGTGCTTAAAATTAGCACTGTGCTCTGTATCATCTTTTTCAACTTCCCATCTTGAAATATTTCCATTCTAAGTTTGCTAAAATGAGTTGAATCCAATATTCAATTAGCTCCGGTAGTTTTCTTGTCTCCTGGGAAGAATGTTGACAGTACCCGATACCGTAACCATAACACACCTGCCTCGTGGTATAGTCAGGTCCCCTTCCCTTTTTACGACATGACAGAATAGGCTCCGCGCACTTATGGGTTTGGAGGTGTCGTCGAGTCTTTTCTTCTTCTCTTCTTCTTTCCTTCTTTCCTTCTTTCCTTCTTTCTCTTAATTTATTATAACTTTCAGAATGACCTCTTCGTCTGGAATCGAAGTGACACTGAACAATGCCGATCTTTGGAAGAAGTTCAGCAGTCCAATGGAAATGATTCTGACTCGGAAGATCGGAAGAAAAATGTTTCCGATTCTGGAATATTCTGTTGATGGATTGAATCCAACTGCAATGTATGAGGTCTACTTGCACATGGAGAGAATGGATGATCATAAGCGAGTTCGGCCATCGTTGGAGTAGGCCGGATACTGTATAATAGCTATTTTCAAAGTGGGAACGTTTGATGACAAATAAGTAGAACCCAGGGGTTTTCATACTAGCATCCGGTTCTTGAATATCAACGAATTTTTAGTTTTGAAAACTCTAGGAATTATCAAAAATCTTTAATTTAAAATATTAACTCTTATGATTTCTAACCTTTTCCCAGGTATCGTTTCATCAACAATGAATGGGACGATTATGCCAGAGGAGACCCGATCACTCCGATTCAAAAAATTAAACATAAAAGTGGAGGACAAACTGGAATGCTTTGGATGGACGGACCAATTTCATTTGAGCAAATCCGATTGACAAATAATCCAGATTTGGACAAAAAAGATTATATTTGCCTCCAAAGTATGCACAAATGGCGTCCAGTTGTCACTATTCGAAAATTGAAAAACGGAGACGAAAATTCGGATGACGATGAGGAGTTCAGAATGGAGGATGTGTGGTTCATGGCTGTTACTTCGTATCAGGTATGCTTTAATTTCAAATAAATATATTTTTTTCTATAATTTCAGAATCCAGCCATCAAGTGCCTGAATATAGAGAACAATAATCGTGCATCTGGTTTTCGTGAAACTGGGAATCACAAGACCAATCTTCCAACTCGTGGCATCAAACGTACTGCTTCTGAAACCTTCCCAACTCCTCTCTCAAGTACATCACCACCTTCGAAAAAGAATTCAAATGGACATTCTCCAATTGCTCATCACTTTCCAAATCCAGGAAATTGTGATTTTTCAATGATGGGAACTGTCAATCAATGTTGGATGAATCCATATCAAAATGTGTGGAATTATGGATACAAAATGGGACAACAAATGGTTCAGCCAGCCATGAATCCATGGAATATGCTGAATTTGGGACGTCCAAAGAATATAATTCAGGAGCAACAAGGAAAGCCAATTAATACAATTGTTCCAGAATTTTATGGCTTGAATAATTTGGAATTGCATTTTTTCAAAAATTACAACGCATCCGAGTAAGCCGTTTTTCTATGAGAAATACAAAAATAGTTGATAGATAGTTTGTTCAAAAAATTCAATATGCGTCTAAAATTGTGAAACAGTTTTTTTGAGAAGCTCAAATGTGATTGACTGATCGAAATCATTGATGTTCATGTGATCAGAGACAATAGGCTTAAAACCATCTGAAATGCATAAATTCTAGCAAATTCGTTCGTTCAATTTCCCTGTGTCCATCATCTATTTCAATTATTCCGCTGAAGAATCAATTTTTGAATTCGCGGCAAGTTGCCGCCTGCAACTACGGTAGACAGCGGCGCTTTGCGTACGCGCATGCGGACTTGACCTTATTAAATTTTTGGGATTTTCTCATCTTGACTAACCTTTGAATTATCCTTCTTAACTACTTCTGTTGCACCCCACCATTTCTCAGTCTGCTTCTTCTGTAACCCTTTGTTCGCTTTTACCACATATCCTTCAATTTTTCTGATGTTGTTATCTTTGTTATTACTCAAACCATTCTCGTTTGCTTTTGCTCTGAAAGTACGGTTCAGAGTGTCTTGTTGTCATGTTTCAGACATAAATTATTAAACCTAAAGTGATTCACAAAGTGTGCACAGCTCCCTTAAAACTTTAGAAAATGAGCACAGTTCACTTGCGATAGTGTCTTCGAAGCTTTGATTGCTGTTTCGCTAGTTTGAAAACTTGAATTTGTGTTTTCTAGATTTTCAGTGTTTTACAGAAGTCTGAGATTTTATGATTGCTAAACCCTGTTAAGTGGACTACTCAAGCTATAAACTGGTATACCAGGATACCATGCACTACCGTAGAAAAACCATATATGACCGGTCACCGAACACTGCTACGCATACCGTGAAACCTGTAATACATAGAAGGGCCCCCACACTGTCAAGTTTGCTATAGTTTTTCTTTGGCTCCTATGCAAAATATCAATAATGTGACAACATTATTATGTCAAACAATTTATCAGTTGAGAACTTTCCCATATCTTTGGCGAAAATCGAGAAAAATTGGCTTAAAGTAAACATTTAGGGGGCGCTTCTATTACAGATTTTACGGTATTTCTAGTTTATCGTAACATCGAATCGTTGATATCCCCATTTCACTATTTTTCTATCGGAACTTGCACATACGGTTACCTCCGGTAATTAGGTCCTTTTCAATTAGCTCCGGTTCTGAATTTCTTGTTGACCAGGTGTGTTGCTCTTCCATGTATTACGGACCGGACCTATCACAGTAAATTTTTATTCCCAGGAGATAAAAATATAACCGGATGTGACTAACTAACGGATCTAACTCAATGTACCAAGTTTAGATGCTTTCTTAAATTGTTTCTCAAATTAGTTTTGAATAAACTCGGCGTCTCCAAAATTACCAAACAAACCGTCAAATGTGTAGGCTAACAGGCTCATTGGATATATAATACGAGCTAACCTTGCGAGCGAACGAGGTTGTGAACCAGATCTTTAATATTCTGGAATGGCTGGTTTTTGCCTGCATTAAAAATGACTGACGTTTCCTTTAAGCTTTCTATATCAAAATTTCCAACTATCCATCTTTAAATATTTCATTTCAAGCTTACTCTACTTTTCTGTATTAAAAATGTTTGTATTTGTGAACGCTTCTGATTTTAGAACATTGGAAATTTTGATAAAGATACATGTTTCGTAATAGGTTTTTACAGCTTCTTCGATAATGACATACGATCTACAGTATCCTGGTATACTATCTATCAGGTAGAGTATATCAAAATGAACGGTAACAGTATACCCATGTGCTTACTATTAGCTCTTACTACATACCAGCATCAACTTTTCCAGCTCTCCAACCTAAAATATTTTATTTTAAGCTTCCTAAATTTGGTTACATCCGGTAGTTAATTAGCTCCGGTTATATTTGTGTCTCCTGGGAAAAACATTGACAGTGTCCGATACAGTAACCATAACACACCTGTCTCATGGTCTCCTCCTCTTTCTATGACAGAACAGAATAGACTCCGCCCACCTTTCGGTTTTTAGGTGTCGTCTAGTTAGTTCCGGTTATTCATTCCATCATTCAGTCTTCTTCTCGTCTACTGGTCGGTTGGATGGTCCTATTTTACTTCTACCGGACCTAAATACCTAATTGATTATTTTCTTTCTACTATTCATCTTCTATTCTCCTTTTTCTCTTCTTTCTAACTAACGCTAATTTTCAGAATGATCTCTTCTTCTGGAATCGAAGTTACTCTGAACAATGCCGGTCTCTGGAAGAAATTCAACAGTCCAATGGAGATGATTCTGACTAAAAAGATTGGAAGAAAAATGTTTCCGAATCTGGAATATTCGGTTGATGGATTGAATCCTACCGCAATGTATGAGATCTACTTGCACATGGAGAGAATGGATGATCATAAGTGAGTTCGGCCATCGTTGGAGTAGGCCGGATACTGTAGATATTGGATAACTATTGAAACATGTCTATGGGTTCTGGGAAGGTTACTGTAAACACAATTCGACAGTTTAAAATCATCAGAATATTGAAGTTTTTGAACTAACCAAGTCATCCTAGCATCAAGTTCATGAATATCCATGAATCTCCAGTTTTGAAAACTCTAGGAATTATCAAAAATCTTGAATTCAAAATATTAAAACTTTTAAACTTTTTTTCCAGATACCGTTACGTCAGCAAGGAATGGGACGACTATGCCAGAGGAGACCCAATCACTCCAATTCAAAAAATCAAACATAAAAGTGGAGGACAAACTGGAATGTTCTGGATGGACGGACCAATTTCATTTGAGCAAATCCGATTGACAAATAATCCAGAGACAGAGAAAAAAGATCATATTTGCCTCCAAAGTATGCACAAATGGCGTCCAGTTGTCACTATTCGAAAATTGGAAAATGGAGACGAGAATTCGGATTTCGATGAGGAATTCAGAATTGAAAATGTGTGGTTTATGGCTGTTACTACTTATCAGGTATGTTTAAAATTCAAATTTAAATATTTAATTTTCTAATTTAAGAATCCAGCTATCAAAGTTCTGAAAGTGGAGAACAATAAATTTGCCTCTGGTTTTCGCTCAACTGGAAATCACAAGACTGTTCTTCCTACACGTGGCATCAAACGTACTGCTTCTGAAACCTTCCCAACTCCTCCTTCGAGTACATCACCACCATCAAAAACAAGTTCAAATGGACATTCTCCGATTGCTCATCCCTTTCATAATCCAGCAAATTTTGATTTTTCAATGATGGGAACTGCTCACCAGTATTTGATGAATCCGTATCAGAATATTTGGAATTATGGATACAATATGGGAAAACAAATGGTACAACCAGTCATGAATCAATGGAATATGCAGATTTCGGGACAACCAAGGAATATGAATCATGAGCAACAAGGAAATCCAAATAGCACAAATGTTCCAGAATTTTATGGCTTGAATAATTTTTGATTGCATTTTTTTTCCAATAAAGTTACATCGAATTTGAAAAAAATCTTTATCGATCATTATCAGTTGACACATTTCTGATATCTGTCATAGGAGCCGAGATAATCGAGCTCAAGCTAGACAGTAGGAGCCTTTCTATTACAGGTTTAACGGTCTCTGTAATACAATGCGAGATCAAAATTAAAAAATAAAAAACATTGTTAAAGTCGAAAATGTCTTCTTGTTGATGTAACAACGGTTGATGTAGGTCCTCCACCAGCCGCAGTGTCTTGAAATCTCAAATTAATTTTTTTAAATTCAGGATTCCGAATTCAAAGTTTCACTGACATGTCATATAAGTCCTTGAAAAACCTGCGGTACGGTGGGAAAAATAACATCAATGATGTCATGTTAACCGATGAATGAGCAGCCAAACAAGCTATGATTAGCTCGGCGAGCAACTGGACACGTGGCACTTCGAAAGACACCACAATTATCAGAAGACATGCGGGAAAAACACAGAAATAGGCGGCGCCGAGTTGAACGAGCAAACTACGGAGAGCTTCTTTGTGTTTGCGATAATTCTGGAGGGAAATTCGAATTTTCAGTTTTCGCATCATTCGAAAAATGTCAATTATCATTAGAAAAAGAGAGGATATGATGATAACGCCACCGATTAAGGTATTGGAAGACATAATGTAAAATAATGGGGTATAACTATAAATAGAGAAGTTGAGCAATGTTTGGAAACTAGAAATATGTTCCGGGTAGGTCTGAAAAACGAAGGATTACTTGATTTTTTAAATCAATATATTGTATAGAAAAAATTTTCAGAATTTCAAAATTTTAGAATTTCAAATTTACAGAATTTCAGAATTCCCGAATTACAGAGTTTGAGAAATTTAAGATTTTTGAATTTCAGAATTTCAGGATTTCAGGATTTCAGAATTTCAGAATTTTTGGATTCCAGAATTTCAGAATTCATACTTTCAGAATTTCATAATTTCAGAATTTTAAAATATCAGAATTTAAAAACATCCAACTTTCAGAATTTCAAAAATTCTTTTCGTTCTAGAACTCTAAAATTTTCTAGAACTCTAAAATTTTAGGATTTAAGAATTTTAGAATTCTCGAATATCCGAATTTCTGAATTTCTGAATTTCAGAGGTTCAGAATTTCAGAACTTCGGAACTTCGGAATATCAGAATTCCGAAATTTTAGAGTTTTAGAGTTTCAGAATTTCAGAGTCTCAGAATCTCTGAATTTCTGAATTTCAAGTTTTCGAAATCGAAACGAAATCGAAAACTTTCAATTTTCCAAATTTCAAAATTCCAAAATTTCAGAATTTCAGAATATTAAAATTTATGAATTTCAAATTTTCAAACCTTCCTAATATGATCCCATTGCTCATCCTCAGTCATCTTCAATATTTCAAAAAGGGCACCGAAAATTATTGGAAAAAAATAAGAAAATATATAAAAACTTTTAGTTAAAGTTTCTGGAAATCTGTGAGTTTCCAGGACCAAAGCAACGGCTTGATGCCTTTTCATAAAACAAATCACCAGAAAATTCAATTGAAAAATTGCAAGCACACTGACAATTAGCTGCAATTAGTTAATTAAGAATTATTCAAAAGGTTTCTATACCATAGAATAATGAAATGGAATCCAATTCGCCAAATATCCCAGCGAGTAGCCAGCCAATATGGGGTACAATGGTACAGGTTGCCATAGGAAATTTAAATGGATATCTGTTATTAAGCAAATTACCTGGAAAAACTTCTATAATTAGGGTAATTAAAATATTTGATAACCTGATAAACCAGCAAGAAATATCGAAATTTCGATAGATTTTTGCAATGAACCAGGAGTAAGTAGATGCCGAAAAAGTTCAAAATTATAGAGATTACACCCATGACATGGTAGTGAATGATGAGCCATTCAGGCTGCGAAAAATCAGTGTTCATGATTTTTATGTGGTAAAAATCACAAGATGAACAAAAACTTTTAGAAAGCAAACAACATATTTTTCAAGGTCGGTAATTATGTAGCACGGAAAATGTTTATGTAGCACGGAAAATGTTTATTATTCTTGTGCAAAAAAATTGGAGTTGTGGCCGAATTTTCACACAAGTTAGGCCACCGTATTTCAAGGAGAATTTTCGAAAACACAGCCGGCAAACGAATGCTACCGTAACCCAACAATAAATATTTTCGCAAAATTTTTGACTTATTTTTTCCTTTTTATCGATTTTT